CGTCCATTGGACACTGATAAGAGATCGGAGACTGCTCTTTGAAGATTCGATATCTCGATGAAAGGTATCAACGGGACCTTCATTAAACCGGTCGAAGAGTGAAATGATGTAATCGAAAGATGAAATCCTCTCTACAGAACGAAAGATCTATACGATGTGTTGTACATCCTGGAAAAGGAAAGACAGAAACAGCATGCAAGAGCCGCGACCGAGCCTGGAGATCGTTGCTATCGGAGAATTTCGCAATTTCCGGCTGAATCCGACAATTTCCTCTCGGCGACGCGTTCATCGCACGCGGCGCGGAACTTTTCGCGCGATAGACCGACCAGTTGGTCTAATTTACGTTATGATCGCGATCTAAAATTGAAGAGAAAAATTCAGGAAGTGGAACGATCGAGGAGTAAACACCGGAAAACCGAAGAAATGTAACATTCATAGTGCTTTGACATTATTGACGGTAAGATTATTGAATTATGTCAATAATCTACGTATTTTTTTAAATTTGATTATTTCTCTTTTTCTGAAGTGTCCTCCTTTGTAAAAGAATATGTATGAATTAATTAAAATACATACAATTATAAAATACAATATGCATATTGTCTCTTTAAAATATAAACTTACTCTTCAAATTATATATACTGTGATTGTTGCAAAAGAGATGGTTATTATTGATAGAAAGGGATTAACATTGCTCATTGAATGAAAGACAGATGCCAATATTTTATCATTGGAAAATTAATTGAATTTTCTTAAATTACTTTCACAAGGAATATTAAGAATATTTCAATATTTTGCATATTCACACATGAAAAGAACGGTTTTGCTTAAAAGTATTTAAAAATTTAGCTAAATACAGATGAAAATAATTGTGTTGGACTATCAAAATAATGATGTAGGTCATCAAATTGATTGCTAGAATGCCAAAAATTTTTGCAGCATTGCTCATTATGCTTGAGAGTCTTACATAATTATTTTGATGCCCCAAAAAAATTATTTTTATATCTAAATTTATCTAAATGTTTAGATATTTCAGCAAAATCGTTTTCTCCAGTAGAATAACTGGTCCATCTAACAAAATCTAACGAAACTTAATGCCCATGTCAATAAATCAGATCGAATAAAACTCTGAGTGTGTCGCTAAATCGAATTTGATAATACTGGCTATCTTGTGAAAACCAATAAATCGTGAAATTTATGTTGATCCCCTTCAACTCTTTCCTTTCCTTGGCATTGTGCATTAGTGAGAAAATCCTCGATGTATTTATAATCACGGACGACTCGAGTTAAACGTTAAGAATTGTAAATAAAATTCGCGAGAATACTATTTGGCTGATACACGGATCCTCTGTGATATTTGGCTATTCTTATATAAAATATCACTGTATTATACGGTGTATATTGTATGTGTGTATATGTATATGTAAATACATATATATAAGTATATATCATATTCTTTTACATAAAATTGTTAAACACAATGGAATTATACTACTTTAAGCAAATAACTTGTCATCAAACGTATATAATGTTATAAAATATGTGAATTTTATATAGTAAATAATTTATGTAAGTATGTGCAGTTTCTGTTCCTTTCAAAATAAATTCCAACGCATTCTTACAATATTCTTGCATGTATCTATGATAAGTATGCATCATAAAAAATAAAATTTAACTAAAATTTTTGCGTTATTCTAATTTTTGTACATATTATGTTTAAAAATATATAATTATTATGTTATGCATTGTGTTATGTTACATCAATTGTCATAATTCTAATGTGCGTATATGTGCACGTCTTTCTTACGGAAATATTAGAATTAATGTAAAATAAAATATAGCTTCGTTTTTATATTCTCAAGTTTAATAAATGACCTCCGATTAATCATATAAAACAAAAGTAAATAATCGATCAATTACACTGAAGAAAATTTCCGATTGAGAATGGACGAATTAGAATTTTCTGGTTAAATTTATTAGAATTCTAGTTGAGATAACCAGAATTCTGGTTAATACAATATTTCTGTATAAAATCTACCAGAGTTCTTATTTTTATCGGAATAATTATATCAATCAAAATTCTAGCTATCTCAATTAGAATTCCAGCATATTTAACTAGAAAATTCTGATTCGTTCATTTTCTACCAGAATTACTATTTAATCCAACCAGACCATTTTTCTCAGTGCATCATTTTCTTCTACCATAATATAATAACATTTTATTTATGATAATCCAGCAAGTATAATTGTTTGCAATTATTCTAAGAAATCTAATTTCATCAATTCAAAATCTCATCCGTTTTAATAAATCACAGGATAAAAACTACAATTATTTTCAATTGTAAGAATTCACTGCCTCGAGCTTATCGAGAAAAGTATTCCTCTCGTTTCTCATTTCTCCATTCATACTAGAAGTTAAAATCAACTAAGGATAACCTTTCACCAATACTTCAAACTTTTATTCTTTCATCTCCTTTATTATGTTCTTACTCAAGACTCACAGACTTACTATGACATTTTTTCTTTAGTTTCACAATCGTTCTAACTTAATAGCGTTTCTCACTTTTCATTATTCATCATCTCAGTTATCATATCTAATTAATCTAATTTATTTCACACACAAACTTTAAAATATTAATTAACAATGATATATTACCTTACATAAATTTTTCCATAAACTTTACTTTCGCCAATATTTCAACGTATCATTGTAAAGCGTTGATCTTAGCAATAAAAAACTACTTCAGAATTGCTGCTATTGTTTAAATAAAAAAAATAATTGTTGTAAGAAGCACTAGAAAAATTTAAACATTAAACATAATTTTCTCTCTATTTTATACCCGAATATTTTTCTGTCTTGAAAAGAATAAATCCCGCTATATACTTATATATACGAGTATATATAACTTTTCGCTAAATTAATCCTTAATTCTCTACTTAATTCCTTTTATCTTTTGTAATGCAACTAATCAGACATCAAGAAGACGAGTACACTTGACTTGGATTTCGGTTCTTCAACAACGTTCGAAACTAATTTTCTACGAAATTGAGATTCCTCCTAAATTCAGAGGTATACCAATAATTCAGCAGCAACGGGAGTTAATATTAATTGCTCACCTTTATCTCGCGTTGCAACTCATCACGGGCATACCGTCGAGAGCGTCTAACTTCCGTCACAGCACGACTAGTAGTCCACTCTCGATCTGCTACTCTTCTCTCGGCGATTATGCGAGAAGGGGATAGTATCGCACCCCTTTCTCTCGCTCGGAAGATGCGCGACTAATGTGATGTTGCACCGATATCTATCCGTTC